TCTGCCAATTCTAATAGAACCACAACGCAAAGTTTGATTTCCCTGCCTGCCAACCAGAGATACTACAACTTCCTTTCTCATTTCTTTTGTCTTTCCTGTCTATTTAGATTGCAAACTGTTTAAGGTAAGAACTAACTTCTTATTCTGTGTTTGTACAGGTCTAGTCATATTAGACTGACAGGTGCCATTGTAACACAAATAAAAATCCCATCAGATTGTAATTAAATAGGAAAAACCTGATGCACAAAGACACTGCTTTACTTAATGCAGGCAGCTACTACTTTTAGAGAGAGGTTCAAAGCAGCTTCCATTTGGGAATCCAGAGTTCTGCTTTGCCTTCAAACACTACCTTCTAGGGTATGTCTCACTATGTAAAGAAACATCTGAGAAAGGGGCCGAGTCGTTCTTGCAAGACGGGATGAAGTCTTAGCAGGGGCCCTTGTTATTTCCATGGTACACAGGCTTAACTGAAGATAGGACATAACCTTACATTTGAGCTTTCATAGCAACAAAGGGTGTGTTTTTTTTAAACGGTAGTGAAAGCAGCCACTTAAAATGAGAGGTAAGCAGTAAATCTGTGAAGCAAAGTGTAGTTAATCAGAAGTAGATAGTCTATAAGGCACTATTCTGGCCTGCCTTCTGCCTGATCAAAAGTAGTTAAAGACCAAGCATGGAACAGTTGTTATACAGAAGGCAAGGTAGCTGTCTCAACAGCTGTTATAGTTAAACCTAGTTATGTAAATGAGTAAGACTACTCAAAAGGGAAAAGAACTGTTAATACTTCTAGAACAAAGCAGAAGGAACAGGTAAGTCATAATGAGCCATTGTCTGTGTTAAGTACATGGTGTTGGTGTTGAGTAAAGTTTTATGAATTTCTGCTCTTAGTCCAGGATGTTCCGTATTGTGTTGGTTTCCTTCGAAGACAATTATTGTCATATCAGATGCAGTGGCTGTTCTGTGAAAGTGTAATGCTGCTGGTGGTTCTGTCCTTTATCATGTTTCTGTTGGTGTTAAGCCGCTTCTGCCCCAAGTTTTGCTTTTCCCTAATAATCCATGTTGTTTGAATTTAATTTAGTTTTTGTGGCGTTTCTGCCATTTGTTGGATTGGCAAACCCTGGAATAAAGAATAAGGCTTAAACAGTGCAATATGTTAAAGTAAATATTAGATGCTACATGAGGAAAATTTTGTTTGAATTACATCCCCTTATGTTCTTTGACTTTGCAAAGCATCTGTAATAGAAGCCATAAACCACATAGATTGTAATACATGCTTTTTTTTGCTAACATGAGCAGTCATGTGGGAGCTAGACACATGCCTATTACTACTATGGATTTCAGTTTGTTTTGGCACAAAATGCAGATGGACTACAGTTGAACAAAGGAAACAAATAGGGAAAGTCTCTTAAAATGTAATGTGAACATGTCAAACACGTTTACGATACGACATGCTGCCCTTGTATTATTAACTGTATTCACAGGCTTAAGATACACAAGATACTCAAGCTAGAACAGGGGTCTCAAACTTAACCCATAAGCTGCAGCATGTGACCCAGGGGCTGTTACAAGTGCTGGGAATCTGGGTAGCAAGTATTTTGGTAATCTTTTACTTTTTAGCTCTTTATAGCAAAGCCAGAGTGATTTGACCTTCTACAAGAGGAATCTGAACATAAACTGCATTATAGCCTGTTTGCATCTTACATCATTATTATTGAAAAAAACCCTAGTGAAAAATGAGGGGTACGATTCTTCTCTCTGGCAGTAGGGTTTCACCGGTTTAACCAGAAATTTTAGTCCACTTCTTTTTAAAACCTGTCTGTTTGCTGAAAATTGCCTTCTGTAAGAACGGACCTTAATTACCATATGCGCTTGTTAGATGAAATCAGAGTAACAATCCGCTTACTTTAGTGACAAAGGATGAGTATAAATGTTTCCACACCCAGTCTATGATCATGCAGCTTGATTTAAGGCACAAGATTATAGATCAGGAGTGGCATGTGCAGATGTTCATCTGTGCTGGGAGACACGCTGGCAACCTGATGCAAGTAACTCAGGGTTACAGGGAGGGGTTGGCAGGATTGGGACAGTTAGCAAGTCTGGAGGGTTGCCAGGATTGGGGGGCTAACAGGTCTGCATGGGGTAGGGGGTGGTCCATCCAGAGGTGGAGGGGAATAGCCTTATCAGGGTGGGGATGGTGGTAGGAAGAGCACAGCACCAGGGCTCGGGCAAGCAGTTGGGCTGTCCCAGCCATGGAGCTACATTCCAAATGTATGCAGACATTCAACTGATTGCATATGCAGACATTCAATTGATTGGGCTAACCCATTCCGATTGGCCTAACCACCCTCCCCCTCAACATCCGCACAGATCAGCATTTAGATCTGGTGGGCAAAATATAGCCCGCAAGCCAGAACTGGCCCACAAGGCACTTTTATCTGGCCCACGACACCCCAGCCCTTCCCCCCACGAAGGTGGAAGCAAGTTGCCCACATGTACAAGCCCCCAATATAGCGTATTGGCCCTTGCTCCCACCCTGTTGGGTGGAAGGGCTCTGCCTAGCCAGCAGCTTCTTGGCAGGACTCCTGCTGCAGCTGGAACATGCTTGCTTGGGGCAGCAAGTAGGGAAAAGCAGTGGGGGTGATGGCCACCTCTATCACAGGGGCTCTACACCAGCTCCACACTCGCAGCAGGGAAGCTCCATGCTGGACACCATGGGGAAGCAAGGTATTATGCAATTCCTTCTATATACAGTACACAATCGCAAGTCATGACAAATATTTTTGTAATAAAATTAAAATATATTATATATAGGTGTTTGACTTCTAGTGTATGATTTGGTTTTCCTCTGGTTCTAAGATGGCAAAGGAGTATTTTGCAGCAAGGAGAGGGGCTTCCGGCAGCAAAGGTCAGGGATTCAGGGGCAGGACTTCTGGTCGCAACGTGGCAACCAGGGAGCAAAGCAACTGTCAAGGGGTGGGGCTACCTATGCAGCCCCCAACAGCTCACCAAACTTTCTAAGTTGCCCTCCACCCAAAATAATTCTCACCTCTGATTCTGATCAACCTAACCCTAGTCAGGTCAATCTAAATATAACATCTGCATATATCCAAAAATAATCGGCTGCTTTCTGCTCCTCTTTGTTTTGCAAAGCAGCCAAGAGATTAAGCTATACCTAAGATATATAGGTGACATCTTCATCATTTGGACCAAAACCCTGCAGCCTCTGATTGATTTCCATCAAAAATTCAGCAATCATCACCCGTCCATCAGACTCTTTCTTGAATACTCAGACACCAACATTTCCTTTTTGGACACCATGATCAATATCCACAATGGTAAAATACAAACCACCATATACAAGAAACTCATGGATCAACATACATATCTACACAGAACCAGCAATTACCCTAAACACACCAAAAAAGCTGTAATTTATAGCCAAGCCCTCTGATACCACCAAATTTGCACCGAGAATACCCATGATCGCCACCTCACAAATTTCAAAAGGGCTTTCACCCAACAATGATGCTCCTCCTCAAAAATAGATCATACTTTTGAAAGAGCCACCCAGATACGACACAAAGATTTAGTGTAGTACAAAATCCCCATGAATTGCACACCCTTAGTTATGACATACCATCCTTCCCTGGAACCTACACAGAAAATCCTCAAACAATTGCAACCCGTACTAGAAGAACTATTCTTAAAGAGATCTCTCCAGAACCACCCATCCTAGCCTTTCAACAAGCACCAAACCTCAGTAACCTCATCACCATAAGCAAACTACACCAAATGGATCCAGACCATGCCAGGCCAAGAAATGCAAAACCTGACAACATCTCTCCACCAGTCCCACAATAACTATACCCCACAATGATTCTGGAATCCTACACCTGGCACCTCCAGAAATGTAATATCTCTCATACGGTGCACTAAATGTCCTGATGGAAAATATGTAGCAGAAACCAAACAACAACTGTGTACCAGCTGAACACACACCAAAAATCTATCCAGGACAAAAATATCGAATTACCTGTGGGTGCCCACTTCTCACAAGACAATCACTCCCTCTCTGATCTCTCAGTTCTAATCCTCAAAGGCAACCTACATAACACCTTCCATAGATGAGCCTATGAACTTCACTTCATAAATCTAATGGACACAAAAAAAAAATCATGGGCTTAATATAGACATTGGATTTAGGACACATTACAACCTGCCTGACACTGATTCAACAGCTACCTGGCCTGAATTTACCATTTACACATTTTTATTCCAACTTCCTCCCCTCCTCTTCTTCTCTACCCATTGTCTTCCTAATTTCCACCTATTTATTTTTCAGACTGCCTCTTTCCTACCTTGGAGAACTCAATACTACAGCACAGTCTCCTATGCTTACCTTTTGCATTCCGTCAGTCATTACTTCCCCCTTTTTCCATCCCCTCCCCTCCCTTCTCTACCAAACTTCTACCTATTTACATTTTCATTGACCTCCTGTCACACTTTTAGCTTCTTTCCTAACCTTGGAGACCTCAGAACAGCAGCTGCCTCCCAATGCCTGAAGAAGGGTGCTTGTGCCCAAAAGCTTGCAAATAACATTTTTCCAACTACTCAGTTGGTCTAATAAAAGATATCACACATCTATTCAAAAAACCTTGCCTGCTGACAGCCTGAAAACAGAACGTTCTGTAAAATAGCAAGTGAAATGAGCATGGTGTGATCTAGATTAATATCACAATTTGTGCCAAGGATGAGTGGCAAGTAATTAACTGACAGAAAATTAGTCAATCATTGGCATTCATTGTAATCAATCATAAAACAGGATTCATTTAAGAAAACAGTCATTAAAATATTCACTCCCTAAAGAGAGTTATGATCTAAACTATCCTTTTAAAGGTCACTAGTTTGAAAACTTCAGCTTACTCAGGCATCAGCACCTGTTAATCAGAAACAAATAATTGCTTCTGACAGATATTTCCAATTTGCATTGGCAATCCACTTACCGAAAAGGCATGTCTGACATTAGGCACCTCATTGAAGGCAATAACCACAGGAACAATATCCAGGGCACTGAACTCCAGTACGGCCGTGTTGATGGAAGCAGCATCCTGTGAGGGGCCATTGGCAAAAAATATGGCGACTCTCCTTGTGAGAACTCCCTGACGAATCCGCTTGAACACATTCCTTGCAACAAACCTCATGGCCATGCCAATGTTGCGTCTGCCTGAGGACCTCTCCAAAGGAATGCTCTGTACTGCTTCTAGCAATAACTTATGGTTCCGGAATTCGGAGAATCTGATGAGATACTGCGTGTTGGTATTGTATGAAACAATGGAAACACGAGCACCAGTCGGGCAGTTACTTTCACTGATCCTAATCTTCTTTAGCAATGACAGCACGACATGCCTCATCTTTGCAAATGCTACTTGGGTCACATCTTCAGACATATCAAAGGCAAACACCACTTCAGTTGGATACACTGGACATTTGCTTTTATCTGGAAACAAAGGCAGTATGTGAGAAGTTTCCCACACAACCATTATCATTGTAATTTGTACAGTCTAATAAGGTAGTAGTACATAGAGTTATTTACCTGATGAGCAAGCTAGAATGAAGAGAGGGAGAGAAAAAAAAAGTATTTTCTTTTACAGCCGCCTTGATTATGTTGCATTTACAGTAACATGTTCCACACTTCAGGTAAAGAGCCTGACCCAAAATTCAGTGAAACTTCTGAAGAAGATATTGTTATAATAAGGCAAATCATGCCTTCCCCTTCCCAGAGCAAAAATTCTGCTGCAGCCCAAATGATACAGTTTTGCTGGGTGGAATTTAAAAAAGCCACACTGGGTAGAAGAACCCAGGCACGTGGAGGCTATTTGTGCTTTCTTGTACAAGAGAAAGCTGAGCAAAAGAGTAGCAAGCTGGTCTAGGATGAAGTCTCACCCTCCCCACCCACCAAAATGGTCAAATGGTTCACAAGCTAGTTATAGGAAAATACTTTCTTCCCTCCCTTACACAATGGGGAGACTTCTCCCCCTCCTTCTTGCTTCCTCCCTTTCTCCCAATACAAAGCTTAAGCTACTTGGGCAGCAGGCTGGGGACCAAAATTTATCCCAAACAAACACTAGACATACATGAAGATGGGAAACTTTAATGAGAAGTACATTGGGGGAATCCTGAAATCGTGCTTTCTCTCCTACAAACCTTGTAGTCAAAATTTCAGCCCCTCAAGGATCCTGTAGTTAGCAGGGTGATAATCTACTGTCTTTTTAAGAAAGGAAGATTGGATAAGGTTGTTTTTCCTTTAAAAACAAATATTTGGGGCTTATAAGTAAAGTTGGGAGACATGCAAATTTTATATATTTTTCCCCATTTTAAAATGACAAATTTCTAGAGTTTTACTTACCCCTTGAAGAATTTGTATGAAAACGTTATCAAATGTGAAAGAGATGGCCTGAAGTCCATACCAATTCGATATCTTAACTATTTATATTGTTAAGATGCCTTTGATAATTTTGAGGGCAGTTGAACAGGAAATTAAAAATGTTCTATTTAGCCATGGAGGCACCATATAAAATTCCCTGAAATCTCTCCACCTATTAGTATGCCCTGCCCATAACCTGAAAGGGCTATTTCTAAGGAGGAAAAAAATAGCTCAGCATCTACAGCCCATTCCATACTTGGCGTCTATTAAGACCAACAAAGGAGCCCATTGGCGCCAACTGTGAACATATTTTCTAGGGCTGTGTGAAATGGTACCGTTCCGTTTCACCTTGAGTTTTGACGGTTGGATGGAACAGTGTTTCGTCTCAAATTTCATTTTGAGTCAAAACAGCTGTTCCATTCCATCGAAACAGAAAGGCTAGGCTGCCTGCCGCCCCCGACATGATCTAGTGCAGGGGACAGGGAAGCAGCCCAACTGAGCTGCCTCTCGCTCCCGATGTGATTAAGTGTGGGGGACCGGGAAACAGTCCAGTTGGGCTGCCTCGCCACCCGCTACCGGATCTTGCGCTGGGGATGGGAAGTCAGCCCAGCTGGACTGACTTCTCATCCCCAGCCTATGGTCGAAGCGTTTTAACTTTTGAAACGTTTTGACCAGCCTTGCTTTGTTTCGAGGCTATTTGAGGGCCTTTGTTTTGTTTTGATTTTGCTGTTTTGACCTCGAAATTGGTCAAAACAGTTTTGAAACGAAATGGCCAGCAAAATTTCACACAGCCCTAATATTTTCCTGCCTTGGATACCAATGAAGTGAACCAAGAGCTTAAACTTAGCTTCACATAAGCTGCCAAACAGCCAGAGTTGACAACTTTCAGTCACTACCAAATTTGCACCAAATTTATATCATCTAGCTAAAATGATGATTAGAAGTTACTGACCCATCTCCTGAGCAATTCTGTTGTCCTGTATGTTTAAAAAGCAGCTCTAGTGAGACACAACCCATCGGGGAAAATAAATAAGGTACCCATTACCTGCTCTGAGCAGGGGGTTGGACTAGATGACCTCCTGAGGTCCCTTCCAACCCTATTTTTCTTTGGTTCTATAATTACTTACGGCAATTTTCTCGTGTAAAATTGACAAGTTCACAAGGCTGCAGAAGGAAAGCAAAAAATAATTAGGGGCAAGAGCCTTATTCAGGTCCCAGGGGAAAAGCAATGGAAATCTTTCCTTTGACTTCAATGGAAGCTAGCTAGTTCAGGTCTCAAGTCCTGCCATCATTATTTACAGCAGTACAAATCCAGAGAAAAACACTGTAGTTACTCAGGCTTTAGACTGCTGTGCCCAATATTAGGATCTTAACCAATAACAGAAGCTGAAGTTCCCTATACTTGTTTCGTTAGCCACTTAAGCTCTCTCAAATGTTTTACATTAATACATTCTGAAATGTTCATCTTGTCTAATGATCTGTATGTTAAAATGTAAAGGAGGAAAATTTGGCCTAGCTAATGCTGCAGGATGACTGAAGGAGGTACACTTCAGGTATGGTCTTCTACAGGAATTCTGTCAGCCAAAGAAGGCTACTATGGCATGGAAGAGCAACCCCCGGTGATGAGCACATTGCTTTACTTTTGAAAAGGAGCAACAGGTACCCGCCATAGATAGCATGTACTCTGACCAAAGGCATAACTAAAGATGCCAGTGTGTACCAAAAGCCAGGTGTAGAGAGTGGGCTACCAAATGCTAGATAGCAGGGGAAAAATGTTAAGAACTGGCACCCAACTCACCCTAGCCTATTGTTGTTCATTACTGCCACCTGACCTGGCAGGGGTTGGACCCGTCTTCATCTGGTAGACCGCATCCCACTTGGATCTGAGAGATCCTACCCCACTATTTTCCTTGGAAAAGACTGTGGTCAGCAAAGGCTTCTTTTACCCTCTAGTACAGTCCTATACAGGATCTAGTCCTAAGTCTGCAGGGCGCCTCTATAAACACATTCCAATTAAATAATACTGAAAACTTGCTGTGCATCAATCCACATTCATGATGTATTTGTCTATCCCTTGGTTATTTACTTTACACAGAGAGCAACTCTTCTTCAAACAATTAAAGGAAACCTTTCTTTAGGAATTAATAGCAAACTCTATACTGTCAATATTTCTAAATTGGAAAAAAAAACCCAAACACCATTAACTACATGCATCATGCCCTAAAGAGAAATGAGAAGGCTACATACTGCCACAGCTGCAATGCCCAATGGTCCTCTGGTGCCCTGGAACAAATGAAATAAAGGTGTAGAAAAGATCAGACCCTCATGCTAAGAGTAGAGCATATTTGTAAATATGGGAGGATGATCTTAGAATATTCAGACATTTCTATGATGGTACATACATGTGGTGTTTTTTTGACAGCTATTCACGAATTCACACAAGTACTCAGAATATTTCCCAGCATGGAATTATTCTGCAGACTAGTTCCTAATAAAGCTGAAGACTGATACTTCGACCAACTTTCTCCAAAGGTATTTCCATCAATGTTACTGAAGTTAACCTTTTTTGCTACTTTAAAGGGTCGTGACTCAGAACCATATTCTTTTCCAAAGTTCTGGCTTGTAAAGCATGTCATGGCACACTGCTATCCGAACTTTCAAACCTTTCTCAGCCTCTTAAGGCTTGTTGCCTACATTTTCTTGTCTCCATGTTAGACCATGAATGTTGAACTCATTATAGCCCAGGATAAGTTTCAAAGGGATAGATGCCTGCACTTTTCCATTAAGTACTGATGAAAGAAGGACCAGAAATGGATTACGTGCAAATGAACCCATGCCTAAAAATAACTCTTAGCAAAGAAAACACAACAATAATATCAAACCAGCAGCTGGAATATGCTATAGCTGTAAAAGATTAAGGCAGGATCCTTGTGGAGAATTCTGCCTATAAAAAGAAAACACGATAGATTGAAATTGGCGATTCAAATAATTCTAGTTATTTAAGTGTCACGCATGACTTAAAAATCGGGAAGAAGGAAAACTTAATTCTAATAATTTATTTTAATCTTGATTTGCATTGTTACTTTTTAGATACTACCATAAAGAAACATATGCAACAGTGCAGATAGGAGCCTTCTGGGATTTTCAGAAATCCCTAAACAAGGTAAGTGTCTCTTAAAGACATCAATTACCTTTTGCCCCCAACTACAGATATTATTAAATAGTCGTCTTTTAAGTCACTGAAATATGAGGAATGCTCATGAATGCAGCACATTTCCATAAACAAAAAAAACTTTATGTTAATTTTAGGCCTTAACAAGTCATAATTTCATATTTAAAAGGCTTTATTTTTCAAATTAAAAAACCATATCATTTAAAATAAAACAACCTGTTTTGAGCTTTAAATGTATCAGATGTTTTTTAAAAAGCTTTTTATCCTCTCTGGAATATAACAGGGAATGGAATTTTGTCCTCAGTTAAACTCAGGAAATGCCATTCGCTTCAATAGGTTTTCCCGTATATTACTGAGGACAGAACATATCTCCCCATGCCTCCTGGCCAGTGAAATACATTTTATTTTAAGAAGCATTAGCATGGGTGCCATTACTCCCAAGTCATAAACATATTACTGATTTTTCGATGAGTTTAAATATGTTACCATTGGTCCTGGTGGGCCTCGTTCCCCTGGATTTCCCATTGGACCTTGAATGCCAGCATTGCCCTAAAAAGAGAAACTTGGGTCAAGTTTTCATGTTGATTTAGTCTGTATGAGGAAAGACATGGGGACAGAACCTCAGGCATTGAAAATCTGCATAGCTCCACCGACATCCAGTTGAGGAGCTGGTGGTTTCCCACCTTTTGAATACAATAGAGTACTAACAACAGATGTCATCGGTATCTCCTGTACCTTTCACAACAAGGCTTCTCCCTAGGGTAAGGCACATATAAAAGCAGATACAGCATCAATTTTCAGTCTCCTTTTGAGCAAGAGACACTCAAACTCTAGCAACTTTATTTAGGGAAATTTTCTCATTGAAAGAGTACAGGTAAATAATCCTCACCCTTCTTCCTCTAACTCCTTTGGACCCTTTATTTCCTGGACTGCCTGGATTACCTTCTTCTCCCTATAAAACAATTAAAATCAGAACCTCAGAGCTAAAGAAACAAACAAAACAATAGCCCCAACCCAAACAACCCACACAAACAAAACAGCATACAGAGCAACAATAACAAGCAGCAAAAATTATATATTTTATTGTACCTGTGAACCAGGCAATCCTGGGAATCCAGTAACTCCCTGGTATTAAGGAAAGAAGACAATGGTTGATAAGAAATTAAAATCTGCTAACCAACTGTTATTCAAAGAAACTCTTTTCTTTTAATTAAAACAAGTTAAAATACTTGCAGCATTTCAGCCTTTTTTATATTTAAGCAACTATTGCTTAACCAATGCTGTTCGCAAATGGCAATGTTTTAGCTTGCCAGTTTAAAACTACACCGATATAGCTATGTTTAACAGCTTTACTTATCTTACCTTAATTGTTTAAATGTTACTTTTCCTTGTGAAACAGTGGAATTCATTTTTTAGCAATCACAGGACCACAATCTCTGGTCTAACTTCACGTTCTAGCAATTGATTCTTACTGTTGTCAGCCTCTCACTTCTCAGTTAGGCATTCAGAGATTAAGGGTCAGATAAGAACCATTTTCTTTTTTCATTAACGCTTTCTGAAGGAAGGCCATTATTTTACAACCTTGTCTGTACTGCTTGGATGGAGGTAAAATATAACAGATTTCATGACTGCCAATTCCAGCTGAAGATGATCCTTTCTGACATTAAAGTCACTAGCAGAATTCATTCACTATGTGAGATGGCCCCATGTTGGGAAGCTAACTTCTATGAATCTGGACATCATGATCACACAGCCATCAAAATGGCATTGCCCAGTAGATCCATGTAAACATGGATATTAGCATATTACAATGTATGTGATTTGCATGCTAGGGTTCATTTTACTATGATATTGAGCTTAACATAGTGAAATTTGGCTTGTGAGCCTGTGCAATTATAACAATTCCTGTAGAAGACTAGCCAAGGGTGTGTTTTTTTGTCAGGAGAATCTCATTTCTCTTTGGAATAAGTTCTGCCTCACCCTTGAACAGTGGTGAGGAAATGAAGAAGAATAAGGATCCCCATACCCTGGCATAGCCCACTTAAACATGAAGGAAAATAGTCCAAGCTAACTGAAGGACTAGGAAGTGTCCAAAACAGGAGGGGATAGGCAAAGAATAGATGAAGCAATGGCTTCCTCCACCTCACATGCTCATCAGCAGGGCTTAGTGGCTGCATATGGAGGCAAAGTGCTATATCCATTACAAAGGTATATCATATTGTACCTGTGTATCCTGCTTCCCGGCAAAGTGCTCTAACCACCAAACCAAGGGCTTGGCTTAACCCAGACCTCTCTCCAGACCTTCTCTTGAATCTGGCCTACTGCACCTTTCATTTGATGTTCATTGACTGAAATAGATAAATGGTACTGGAGAGTCTGTGGCATAATAGAATAAGGGGCTCAGGCTAGAACTAAGGGCTCCCTCCTTCCATGACATCATCTGTCTATTGAGCCACAATTCCCCTGATTTGTTCTTTTCCTTCTGGTCTGACACACCTGCCTCATTTGACTGTCTAGTGGGCCAGCTTCAAGAGAAGAGATAGAGAAGTCAATGTCTAGTTTGTGGTTTGGTGGTCACAGCACTTTGCAGAGGAGTAGAAGATACAGGTTAAACCCCCATCTGGGTCAGAGAGGCCTAAAAAGCAGATTTCTTGCTCCTTGGGCAAGTGCTTTAATCACTAGGCTACTGAGTTAAAAGCTAGAAGGATCCTCTTATTTCAGAACCATAGAATTTCCAGAAGATACACATATAGGACAATTTGGTTTCACCATAAAGCAAAATAGGATCATAAACTGTGTGCAGGGGCCAAAATCTACCTGCACCACTGCACGTGTGTCATTTTGGCACATAAGATGAAATGGGATTTAGCCTTTGAACTAGGATAGTGGTTCTTAAGCTTTTTAGTTGCAAGGCACCCCTCATTAGACTCTAGGCATCCCTTGGAAGGTGCTCTCTCTTAGCTGACACTCATTTCTTAACTACAGAATAATTCTTCTGTTGCAAAGAATATAGAAAGTCCCTTGGAATTCTTTTTGGACAAATGTTATAATGTCATATTGTTCACAGATTTTATTCATTTTAATATCCAGTGTTTAGTGGAAGGGGTCCAGAAACCTATGGACAGACTTTTTTCATACAGGACTTTGCACCATCATAAATATTCAGAAGGATTGAAGGGAATGTTACTGCATTTTCATTTTCTTTAAATTATCACCATGAAACTGTGAAGTGACAGCATTTTTCCCAAGTGTTGGCTGTAATTTGTTACAGACCTTTTGTAACAGAATTATAGGCAATGACTGGGACAAATTATATTTGCTCAGGTCCTTTCCCTCAGTTTCAAAGTAAGCATGAAGAGTGAAAGTTCACAGGGAGGAAGTAAGCTCCCACACTAGTGCAGGTCATTGGTCTTCACTGAGCATCCAAATCAATGAATTCAATCACTGATTTCAATCAGATAAGAACCTGGTCCATTCATTATTTAAATTAATGATTATGTTATTTGCAAATAAATACTAACTTATGATTGAAGGGCCCCTTTCTGATCAAGAGAGTGTGGGGGTGTAAGTTTCCACACTGCTCCCCCTCTGTTACACCCAGGCTCAGCCAAGCAATGGCTCACATGCCTACTGTTCTTCCAGTACTCCAGCCAAAGTAACAGATCTTCCAGTATTCCCCTCTCTAAGTGAGTTAGCAGGGAAGAGTCTTAGATCTGGAACCTCAGAGCCACACTTCCCTCCCAAGAATTGTCCTCTTACCATGACAGAAATCTGCCACCACTTACTCTGGGGCTGGAGTACAGGTTTCTGTCTGACTTCTAATGACAGAGTCTGTCAAGTACACCTGCACCAAAGTGAAGTTTCAGGGACTCGAGTGACAGAGCTGGAAACAAAAACCACACCTGCAGATCTAAATTCAAGTGGCCTGATTCAGGGGTACACATGAAATGGAGTTGGAGGGAGATGATTAATGTGGATGGACACTGAAGGTGTCATCACTTTCTTTTGCTAGTGAAAACATATCCAACTGTCACCGTAACAGAAGTGGCACTATCTGACTGGCATTATGCTGAAAAACTTAGTTTCTGAGCTCACCTTTGTTCCTTTTTCCCCTTGAAAACCAAGGCCATCATTGCCATCTAGGCCCTGCACAGGTTAAATAAGACATGATTTGTTATTTTCTAATGTAATACTATCTTCTAACATATAACATACCCAAGAATAAGGGACACCTTGTTTTAGAAAGGCAGAAGGAAGAAAAAAAGATCTTTCCTTATAAACTGTAACTGGATAGCAGCAGCTAGCTGTGCCTGCTCACTGTTCTGCTCCCTGTGGATCACAGACTTTACTTTCATTTTTGCCCAGTAAGGGACAGAAGCAGCTTTTCCATAGTTCTCACATTTAATGCTTCAATTTTCAGCAGCTGCTTTTTGAAAAAATGTGCATTACATGTGAGACAATACAGTACTAGCTGTGAATTCAATGCTGCACTGACCTACAGTGCATTGACCCTTTTTTGTCCTTGACTGCAAGGGCAACTGTGTAGCTTGCAGTGTCCCCAACGCATTGTAGCAGCAGTGGTAAAAGTTATGAAGAGATATAATGGCCATTTACACTGCCTCTCACTTACATCTTTTCACTTTTCTCAGGGGTCTGACAGCAGAATTTCTTCTCTTCAACCAATAATAAAAACTTTGCTGCTGAGCTCTGGAAAGTTGAAGAGAATATCTCCAATATAGTGATGCCATCCCAAATGGCACATTCATTTTACTGACCTCTAACTGAGATTAACACAATTGTGAGATTGTGGCTTGAATGCAAGAACCAAGTATTTCACTCCTATAACTGATGGACAGTCTAAATGCAAGCATCACCTTTGCAGCCAAATAATTAGTCACAGACATGAAGGCTAACACTTATCTGTCAGCAGTTGTACACACAGCTCCACAACTGAAGTAACAAGACTCACAGGCAGGCCCCTTGATCCAGGGGGTCCCAATAAGCCCTTCTCTCCAGGAGCTCCAGGTTCACCCTATTACAATTAAAATATGAAAGATGTTGTTAAGTCAACATTTTGCTTTGAGTGAAGAGAACCGGGTCATTAGGGTAGAAGTTGTACTTATGAGTTTTGCACAACATAACAGAATAAGTTAAAAGTTTTTTTGTGGGGTCTTTCAAGAGGAGGAACTGGAAGCACGGATCAAACCAAGGCCATGTGCACTTGGAGCCAAATCCAGCAGGCCTTGAAGAAGCTATTTAACTTCCTAATGCCTTAATTTACCCATCTGCAGCACACACTGCACATAGTATCCCCAGGGGTGTTGCCAGGGTTATTTTATGCTTATACAATCCTGGAAAGACAAGTGGTCAGGAATGAAAATATTATTGTAATCTGGCACCTTTCGTCCTCTAGGTCCTGGATTCCCAATAGAGCCAGATTCCCCAGGGGGTCCTGGATTACCCTGAAATCAGAAACACAAATGAATTTTTGGGGGGTTTTTTTGTTTTTTTTTTTAAAAGAAAAATCTACTGGTTAATGTTCACTAGAGCTTAAAATTGCTCTAGGCTTATCCTTTGCAGTTGGTCCATCTAGTGGTCACGTTTAAAGTCTTTAGTAAGTTCTCTCAACCAACCGTGCAAATTATTTTCTCTTTTTTTGTTTAAACACTTCACAATGTCCAGTATTCTCAAATATTAATTGTAAAAGCATCAGAGAAGATGAACATACAGAAAAAACTAGGTCTGAAAGCCTGAGTCTCCTTGAAACACAGGTCTAAATCTTGATAGGTTGGACCAGATTCTGATCAGAATTATGCAGCCTTTCCATTTCTAGTGAAAAAGTGAGGCAAGAATTTGTTCAATGATTCAAATATATTCCAACCTTGAATCTTCTGGGCACTTCCCTGTAGCCACACCCAAATAAAAATATTCACCAACCATGAATCAGATTTTTCAAGCAATAGGATTAGTACAATTTCTCATTGCTACCATGAAAGAGGTCTGCAAAGTAGTTTCTTTGCTCTCTGGAGTCACTAGTCAACACCCACTTCACTAACCAACCCAATATTACCAAAGTTTACAATGACTAACTTTCTCATTTGGCCATTGATTACCTCAGGATTATACTAAAATCTAGCCTGTGTGGCTACAGGCTAGATTTATACTAAATACTAGCCACCTCCATTTCTTCTTAGAGATCTTATTTATCAAGGTTCAAAATAAATTTAAAAGGAGATGAAGACAAACATAAGGTGCAGAATAAGGGGGTAGTATTTAGAACTAACACGACAGCCTGGTATGCCTTGTGTTCCTCGAAGTCCACTGATGCCTCCTGGACCTCTTGAGCCCTGTTAAAAGAAAAGGGCATTTTAAAAAAGTGTAATGTTGCTAATTTGCACTGCAAGGTAGACCCACAACTGCCTAAATGAAAGCACCTGGCCTGCAAGCCTCTCTATGCAAACAGACTCATTGTGTCACAACCCAGTGATTTTTTGTGCCTCGGCACTATGGAATTTCCTGGCCACATGAGAGCTCCTTTGCACAGCAGAGAGTTCTGCTGCAATTAAGAGCCTGCCTGCAGGAGAGTTCCCGCCAATTTGCAGTTTCCTTTGCAGGATGCATTTCTTCTTTGCAGCACAGAGATGCACGGTGCAAAGAGTTCCCGCTATTCAGATGCAAATTTGTGCCCTGTTATTGGCCAGTGCTAAATTATTCACACGTGGCAGCTAGTAATTGGCTCGCTGGCCGTTTAAAATTCCGCGCAACTTCCGCCCAAGTTGAAGAGCTTTGAGCACGCTGCAGAGCGTCTCTGAAGTTATCTGACTTGCGGCTGCCGATCGATAGACTGATCACCTATCGATCTTTCTTCCCGTCACCGAGCGCAACCCCGACGTACCCCTTTCCCCGCTGGCTTCGAATTGCGGACGGATTAACTGGCTTGGGCCCCGCCAGCTGGAACAACTCGTGTGGTTGTTCCGACGACCGGACCACCTGCGTCGTGATTGCAAGCGGCGTGAGTAAAGTTTTTTACAACCAATAAGTTGTGTCTGCCTCTCCATTCACCAGCCCGCCCTGACGTACGAGTGTAACTCGAGTCGGCCCTGGCCGTCCGAGACACATTGAACGCATGCGTTCAGGACTAGGTTGTATGGAGCACCTTGCAGAATCAAACTGTAAGTATTTATTCAAATATGTGCCGTGGAAAAAAAAAAGAGAAGAAAAAAAAAAAAAAAAAAATCAAGGATCAACACAATTCAGACCTTTCTCATTTTTCCTGCCAAACGTAATATCGCTCTCATTCTTTGCAAACAGGACTTGAAAGCATACTAGGAAATACTTATTGGCATACAAGCATTTCACAATTAACACTTTTTAATTCTGTGCACTGATGATATACATTTAAATAAAGACATTCTGAGCAAGTCTGCTTGACGATATTCTGTAAAAAGGAAAAGTAATGAAAACTTACAAGATAAATTATTTGTTCCTAGCATTCACTCACCTCTGCTGGTTTCAAGCTGCATGTATATGAACTCCAAGAGGAATACAGCCTATTGAATTTAGAGGGGCCACGTAGGAGATATGTCCAAGTGGAATTTTTGTTCAGAAAATTTGAAATAAGCAAAACATTTTTCAAGAGAAAAAAAGAACAGTAAAAATAAAAGTATTTTTCCACAAAAAGCAGTATGCCAAGTAACTCAGCATTACTTTTTGCTACCTGTGGGCCTTGTGGTCCAGAGATGCCTGGGCTACCTTCTTCCCCCAAATCTCCTTGTATACCCTGGCAGAAAGGGAGAAGGAAAAAAACAGAGGAGTGAGAAAGGCTAACTATATTTCTTATACAGAATGACAAATTTATTTCAAAGTCAGTGACACCACTAGTACTGAACAGCCCTTGTACTTGGCCACTGCAAGGTGCTCAGAGCATAAAAGCAAACAGGAGTGGTAAGTGTCTCAGGTATTCTGTCCGCTTCCAACCACTATGCAGGGCTATTTGCAGTCTATCCCATAATCTTGTAAGTTGTCCTGAATGCAAATAAATGTTTCATGCTTCAGTTTTCATTCTCATCACTAGAAAAAACTGTATGTCAAATCTGTCTCAATTGAGGGCAAATTAGTTGTTCATTTTTAAGATCACCAGTCAAAAAAACACATAAAGTGGCCATCTTCAAAAGAGTCAATTCAGCTGATACCCTGAAGAAATATCTTTTTACTTTCCTTCTCTTTGGGACTGATAAAAGGTCTGGTTTAGCACTAAGATGTTTCAGAACATGTTGCAGTTGTTCATTTGGAGATTACAAACATATGTCTGAGGATTCTCTGGAAATTGGCAATTCTGGAGAAACATCTCTTAGGGAGAGTTGGAGTCAAAGTATTTTACTGTCCAATTATAAGAAACTCTGCCTGCATGAAAGGACTGGGAAGGATATCAAATGGAATAAAAGACATCACATGGATTTGATGAGTCCAGTGGTAGCCAAATAACAGCACTGCAACACTTGACATCTGTTACAATGCTAGCTATAGAAAAGCAGACAATATCTTAACAGAAGCAGCCTCGTATGAAATTGTCACCTAGACAATATTGTCACCTAGATATTTAAACAAACAAGAATTTGTATCAGAGCATTTGGGCTCTTATCTGAGGCACACTGGTCCAATTTTTCTTCACAGTAAGGGTGGCCAAAATTTGGAATGGGCTTCCAAGGAAGGTGGTGCTCTCCCCTACCTTGGGGATCTTTACGAGAAGGCTGGATAGGCATCTGGCTGGGGTCATCTGAACCCAGCACTCTTTTCTGCCTATGCAGGGGGTCGGACTCGATGATCTATTGAGGTCCCTTCCAACGCTAGCATCTATGAATCTATAAATCTATCTATTGCAAAGCCCACTAAAATCAGTGGGAGTCTTTCCACTGACTTCAGTGGACTCCGGATCAGGCCTAGAGATAACCCATTCTTTTCCCCTTACTAGTTCTCCTGCTTTTCTTTTACATCTCTTTTTTTATTCCTTACCACTTTTTCTTTGCAATTTACACAAAATTAGTTGTGTTCACATTTGCAATATACTTCATCTCTTGTTAGGTATTAGAATAATTGTTTGATCTGTCCACTGGTTAACCATGTCTACGATATTTTAGTATGGCTCCCTTTATATTTGTTTTTAACCAAAAAAGTCATCATAAACAGAATTTTTTTGAAAAGATGCCTTTTTTCATAAAATGTAAACCACAATTTGACATGAAGCTACAAAAAAAATTCTCCGCAGAAAATGGTATGTTCTTGTGTGATTGTGAAGCATTTTTTTTCTCCCCCGTATACATTTAGCTCTAGTTCTGTCGTTTTAGTACTTTCCGTAAGCTATTGGAAGTAGCAGAGTTGTATGGATATTAGTGAAGTCAGTCTTACTCTACTGTTTGCAGTCTAAAGTCAGCTGATTTTACTAGCTGGCCCTGAGTGCTTTGTGATATACCAAGGGATATAAGCCAGCAGGATTAGCACAAAACATTGACATGTGTCTTTATAGGAAGGGAGGCTTTAGTTACCTGGCTACCTCATCTAAGAGAAATTTGACACCACACTTATTCCATATAGCTGCCACTGAAGGAATATAATGCAACAGAACTCATGCAGTTGTTTGCTGTGCAGGTGAATACAGAATGTGGCGAGACTTGAACAGAGGCTTTACAATGTGTATGCTGTAGATCTGTGCCCCAATGCAGGTATGCAGCACACAGGTGATGTTAGAAGACACCACAGTTGTGGAGCTATGACTATGCAGAGCTGCTGGGAAACTTTCCTAGTGTGGAGGAATGCAAACAAAGCATTGCAGAATTACACTGCCCTGAAGCTGCAGTAGTAGTCAAGGAGCACTTCCATCATTGCTCTGTGCTTTGGTGGGTAGAAAGGCTTTCATCCCCACCATCACCCCTTTATGTTTCTGTACTGAACAGGCTATTTAGCCAGGCAGAACACAGAGTCTGGGCACTGACTCCTGGAGAGAACCAGTATATTTTTAGAAGATAGAGCTGTAAGCAGGAAGTAATTAACTGAAAGTCTGTGGAAAGTTCTTGGTTGCTGTGGACACCATTTCCTTCCCTGTATCTCTGAAAAGCAACAGTCATGCAATTAGGAAGCACTAGATTAGCAAGGGGGTGAAATATGAATGACTCATGCCTCCTGAAGCTGGGGGGGGGGGGGGGGGGGGGGCGCACCCAGGCG